GCATTTGTGGTAAGTCCATGTAAAAACCAAGAGTTAGTTACTCTGGCGCACATAGGGACACACTATAAAGGTAGTGAATGGGGAGTGGTTACCCCTTAGGCTGCAGAGAGTTTGTTGGTTAACAACAGGAGGACTTGCTGAGGAGTCTCCTGGATCTATTGGGGTATATATACTAATACAGAGTGTTATCACAACACAATGGGATCCGCACCCGTGTACAGTGATTCTGGACCTTCTGGGCATGCAACCAATCAGTATGCTTTCCAAGTACGCCTTGGTAGCTTAGTTGGTAAAGCACCAGACCATGAAAGCTGGAGTCCCAGGTTCAAGCCCTGGCCAATGCATGTTTTCTCATACTATAAACAAATGTCATAATTTGTCAAGTGTTTGTACTTATGTACTGTACAGTTGATAAAGACAGTGGCTGATGATGTCATGGGGTCTATACCGCATGACCAGCTCCACTGCGTGAGAGAGTTGTATCTAAAAATAAGAAGAAAGGCAATGTGGCGCGAGAAAGAGGAGTTTGAACAAAAGGGGAAGTGCCGCGTGGCACCCTGTGTGAAAGCTAAAGTACAAGGTTAAGGCGGAGATTGAAAATGAAAGGAAAGGTCCAAAAATTGTGTTATCATAACAGTCCATATATTTTACTCCAGTAAACAGGCTTTGAGTAATATCACGCAGAATCCCTTACCAAAGCTAAAGGATCATTTACTAAATCGACTACTCAGCCTACAGTTTAGCCCTGATAGCTATCATTTTAATGAGGCCGACAGTTGCACAATCAAGATTCTCGAGAACAAACTGTATCCATCCAGTATTCTCCACGTCAACTACACAGCCTATGATGTTCGCCGTGGCCAGGACATTATCAATTCGCGAATGGGTGGTAATGTAATGGTATTATCTTGCAGTACCGCATCAAGAAGTCATCCTTTCTGGTATGCCCATGTGCTAGGCATATTCCACCTTCAGCTTCTTCACACAGGTCTATTGTCGACAAATTTATCTGTTCAGCAAATTCAGGTTTTATGGGTTCACTGGTTTGAAATTGTAAAAGGACATGATACCAACTTCAAAGCAGCTCGTCTCCCAAAACTCAAATATATTTCAAGTGATAATGAAGGGGCATTTGGGTTCCTTGACCCATCCCTTGTTGTCCGGGGATGTCATTTACTTCCTTGCTTTGCAGATGGACAAACTTCTTCGCGATTTTTTCCCTCCAATGAAACTTGTGCTGAACCATGTAATAAAACTAAGTGAAACTCAGCCGCTGCCCGAGAGGCTATAGAAACGACTTTATTATTTACCTATGTGAAACTACAATTGATGTTAGTTTAAGGTGATCTCTAATAAATGTAATGTAACATACCTCAGCCGCCGCCCGAGAGGCTATAGAAACGACTGAGGTATTCCTATACTAAACCCCTTACTACTTATAGTCGGAGGTGCTAATCGCTACAGTATAATGACTCCTAGGAGTACAATTGTGCTCCTAGGAGAACAATGGTTACTCCATGGGGTGGTGGCTATGCTCCATGGAGAACAATGGCTGCTTTGGCAGAGACCGGGTTTATCCGGTTTTGTCACCTCATTATTAGATTATGAATCAACGAACTATGTGAATATGAACAGTTTCTCTCACCCATCCGAAAACTCCTTCTCTGTCACACAGCCATATGCACTGGATCACTGGTGAGTAGTAGTGGATTGGAGGTGTCATCCTTGTAGCGCACAGATGAGTGGTGATGGTGGTGATATTGCTGACGTCTCTTCGCAATTCGAGCCATTTGACAATCAATGCATCAATGGTCATCAATATTTGCATGAAGTTGCGTGCTTCGTCAGAAAATTCGACCCAGTCTTCGTGCCCAGAGTGGATATCTTCACCTAAGCCATAGCTGCTCCGTCAGACATTGTTTGATGCGGCTGTAAGATGAGAGGGAGTATGTATTGACGTCTTTTTACCGTTAATAAACGATATATGTGATTTTAGCTTTGCTTCATGTCCGAGTCACGTACTACATCGTCGACTCAATGGCAGACTCAGTCTCGAGCCCCATCCAAGCCATATTATTCAATGTTCTCATACCAGACAACCTGGCTACTCCCATACATACATATTAGTCCATACCAGTCCATACCATATCTCCAAAAAATACACGCTTGGGCGGTACCAAGCAACCTGCCGCTGAGCCTGCCAAGTTCTGCCGACTCATTCTCAACCCTATCTCATATGGGTATCTGTATGGTGATGTTTGCCAATCGCCACCAGGAAGTACCAGAGTTCAACCGTTTTCGTGATGCCGATACCCAAAGTAACTACTGTCCCTGCATGGGCGTTTCTCGATGCAAATGCTGCTGTGAATAGTCTTAACTCTCTGAATCATAAGCTTGATCTGCTGACTTTTGCAAGGGTGGCTCTTTTGATGTCGATGCTACTGCAACACAGTAAGATTTGTGTCGGTGGTCTCACATCTTATAGCTTGTGCTATATGCTCATCAGTCTCCATTTCAGTTGGCCCCTTATTATATGGCATCCATGATAGCTAGTGCAGTATTCTCGACCTCTAATGCGACGTCCATATCAACTCGCACTCCTAATCCCTAATCCCTCGACCTCGTGCATGATGCCCACACGGACTAGCATTCCCAGTTCCTCACATTCGAAGATCGGCGCTATTGTTGGCGCTGTAGTCGGCGGCGTAATTGGCCCGGTAATTTTAGCTACAGGAGTTGTTTGTGCGCCGGTGTTCGAGATGTCATAGCGACAGTGATCTACATGAAAAATCATCCCTTGACTCTCTACCTGTCAGGCTGGCTATACTCAACATCGTTTCAGTGGCATATCGCAGGACAACCACCATCGAGCCTCTTAAGGTACCCTCTATTTGGGTATCTATGTGTAGTATATCAGTCCGGATGCTAAAGTTTAGTGTTCTTTCTAGAATCCGGATGACCCTAACACATTCCCTGTTTCACGTAATCCTTCGACGTCCTATATAATCGATGATTCTGATCCACAGCCTGTATTCTAGCCAACTGTATGGTTACTGATGTGATTTTCCCACCGCATGGATCATATACCGGCGCTTCTTAAGTTTGATCCTTGTGTAGCATCAGAAGTTTCAGTCACTATTATCTTGGTCCACAGTATGGCTTTCTTATCTGGAACTAAATGTCTGAAAACAAGTCTTTATTAGCTCATCACTTGTTTCAACTTAGCACCCCCATGTTGCAGCGATTCCGGCGAATCCAGTCCGCAGATTTGCAGCATCAGCATCAACCTCGGTACAACCTATGAAACCCCTTTGCGACAGATATTTTTTTGAATTCGTTGAAAATAGCTTCGGTGATGGGCACGCCTACATACGAGTGTCCCGACCAGTGTTAAGTATCGTACTAACGCTTCGAATCCTACTTCTGACCTCCCTATCTTGCCGACGAGTATCGGGGAGCAGGTATGATATCTTCTATGTAAGTTGATAATGCCCGGAAACTGATATACCATCAGGTGCACAGGGAGGTATAACTCTAGCATGAAGTGTGTAAACTTGAACAAAACTGCATTATCGTAAAGGCCCGGCGCCCAACGTCCCCGATCAACTTCTTCGAAGATGAACAATGGATAATAATTTACCTTCTCGATTCAAAAGGTATCCCTTTCATCACAATTGTGAAAAGAGAACTTAACACATTTCATCTCCTTCCCAAAGCTGTGCTATGACGATGGTTATGATATTATCAGGTCCCTTGATTGATACATCTTTGGTAGATTCTCATACCACCAACTTCTGGCCATCTGCGAAACAACAACTTTTGCGTTGAGCTATGAATGGAGTTAAAAAGCAGGCTTTCGTTCAGCGTTCCTCGACATTCTGCTCAGAAAATCACTTTTGAGACCACCCACCATGTATCAGAGATCTTTGGGGACCTGGCTCGTAGTTTTAACGACGCTATTAGGCCTTCCAAGGATCATTGCTCAAAATTCAAACGTGACTTGCGTGGATCTGCTTTGGGTATGTCAACCTATCTTTGCCAAGCAAGTGTACGAATGCAAGTTTCAAAATCTGTTCATGTTACCACAGGCAAAAAATGGATTGGGTCAAACCCCCTGCGAAGTCGCGTCTTGGTGATAGTGTGCTCCGGAGGTTTGTGTCAGACCACTGATTGATTTCCTACCTTGACTCAGTTGATATGCACCAAATATCATAGTATATACTGTAACCCCTTTAGCACCCGGAACACACTATGGTGTTTCATTCAACGGGGCGCCTGAAAGCTGCCTGTGCAACTCTGTTGTTTACTCGCTATTTAGTGCTTGCGCAGGCTGTCAGGACCGAACATGGATACCGTGAGTGATACTCGCGAATTCCATGATTCCAAACTGATAAACATCTTAGCTGGACTACCTGGAATGAAAACTGTAGTACGGCTTACTACCAAGAGTGAATCATTCTAGAATCATCAGAGGGTAAGTAGTTTACTAATGGTCCTCTTAGATTTCCAGACCGCATACCCCAGCAAACTGTCGTTCCTGGATGGGCATATCTTGATATTAACGCTGTTGTAAGCTTTTATTCCCTCTAATGAAAACCTTCAAATAGTGATTTTGCTTTGGAAAGGGGGGCGGCTCTTTCAACGCTACTGCAGCGCAGTTAAATTTATGTTAGTGGCCTAACATTTATGTGTGCTAAAAGTTTATAACGTGCATTTCAGTCGCCCCTGCATCATCGGCAACTGTAGTACGACCTACAACAATGTCCTCTAGTGCGACATCCGCTGCCACTCATGCTTCTAACCCATTGATGTCCACAACGACTGGCACTCTTGGCGCATCGGCGGCATCGGGCTCATCGACGGCATCTGGCACATCGACGGCTTCTGGTTCATCGACGGCTTCTGGCACATCGACGGCTTCTGGTTCATCGACGGCTTCTGGTTCATCGACGGCTTCTGGTTCATCGACGGCATCTGGTTCATCGACGGCATCTGCCTTATCGATGGCATCTGGCCCAACCAACGCTCCCAGTTCCTCACACTCAGAGACGGGTGATATCGCAGGTGGTGTTGGTGGTGTAGCTGGTATAGGAATCATAGCTGCAGTTGCCGTGTATCTCATGCGCCGTCGCGCAAAAGCACAATCCAGTCGCGGCCCATGTGGGAAATCGTCAATAGATTATTCATCGATGGGGCAGCCTATATCTCCACGCATTTACGAAGGCACGGCGCAGAACAATTATAAGCGACCGAGACTCTTCGTACGTGTCATTGTTTGCTATAATCAGCTTCATCAGATTGAGCCCTTGTATCCAGAACACGGATGATCCTAATACGTACCCCACTCATTCACATAACTCAGTCACATACAGCAACAGTTCCGACTCACAGCCCAATATTCGGCCATCTATGCCTAACGTTCAGACCAGTCCACCACGCTCTGGCCCATATATCGGCTTGGCTCAGATTTAACCCCTTTGTCATTGTTTTCTTCGATAGGTTGACAAATTTATGTTTTTCCTTGGTAGATTTCAAAATCACGACTGATAGTCATCGCTATTTATCATTCTTCATCCTGGAAGTATTCGTCGCATACTGGAGATGTGATAGCTTTGGTGATGTCACATTCACTTTGGACATCAAAAATTGTTGTACAGCATCTACGTCATTTGCAAATGTTATTGGGCTTGTTAATTTTCCAGTGAGATTCATGTCAGATTTTGCAGGGAGCTGTACTGACTACGTACATAGTTTGGGTACTCATTACTGCTTGACTCGTAAGTGAGATCATGATGTTCTAAGTTTCTACTTACTCTCCATTTGAACTCAGATTACAAATTGTAGTACACAGTGTGCTGGCATCACGTATCTTATTCAATCTTCGTAAAAGTGATGCACATGTGCATAACATTGATACTAGTCTCAGCATGTTGGCTGCACTGAGTACTGTCAGGTTTCAATCTGCCACCCTAGGTGAGAGGGAGGAACCTGAAGGAAGTAGTGGCCTGTGAGGGTGACATACAGGAAGAGAGTATTAGATCCTTTATATTCACAATAAGGCACAGTGTTTGACTAGTGGATTCAGCAAACACTATGCAAATGACTCAGATTGTTCACTGCCAAGTATTGTTAAACTGGTTTATGCCAATGCTGAAGTCAGATTCTTTACTTACTTTGAGATTTTGTCACACCTCATTAGGGATGGTAAATTCTGGTTCAGATAAATGGTTCAGAACTGAGAACTGTCATCATGTGTTACAGAAAAATCTTCCATGTAAATATCTGATAAATGTATTGAGTGTAATGTCTATAATAAATGAAATAATGATAATGGTGTTTGTATTTGAATATATGCAATACATCATAGAGGTTGGTTTCTCAAGCCTCCTCATGATTTCACATCAGGAGATGGAGGAATTTTCCATAATGTCATACAATGACCTTATAAGGCTTATAATGAGTAACATGCCAATAATAATTGTACCTTGGACTGTAAGGCTTCATAATACAATATAGTGGATGTTAGACGTAGAGGATCAAGGTGTGAGGGCAAGCAGTCATGAAGCGCCTAGAAAGGAAGGAGTATAAGTTAAGATGGTCTGTGCACCAATATATCCCATCAGTAAAAATTTTGGTTCCGTCTTACTTATAAGTTGGCCTGGTTGCCACGTAGCACCTCAGACTCATCTACGAGTTCTGAGGTGAGACCCTTATTTTCCCCCCCTTCAAATACCTAGCTAATCATTAGTATAGCTCTTATCTTATCTAGATCAAACCCAAACGATTTCAGTGGAAACATGCTGCACCAATCTCTGGCATAATTGTGGCAATCTGCAACTTCAAATGAAACATAGAAAACAGTGTGGTTTTGTAGTCACAACTAATATTGCAATACATTGCTGTTTACATGCTGTATTTGGTACATGCCTCAGTCTATCCACATCCGAGTCATCATTATCAGCAACTCCAAAACCTGACCATATTTGGGGCATCTATAAAACTCCAGTAATCATGGCTTTGTTCAGCTAGACCTAGAAGTAGTCGCAAAACATGTATGGCGTTATAGTGGAAATGTCTGTTCCTAATGACTAACCTATACACAGTATTTTGTGTTGTCTTGCAATTTCTCGTTGCCAACTTGTGCATATCCAGCATCCTGGAGTTACTGGGTTATTGTACAAAGTAGAAAATCTTACTTTTGACTTATGTATGTCTTTGCATGCTCATGTCAGATGCTCAAAATGTCGCAATGAAAGGACACTGTTGCCCCTCCCTACAGTGATAACTAAATCTTGCATCATCATATTGAACATTGTAAGATGTTCCCAAGTTAATTGATGTTAGAGAACTTTGGCCAATTTCTCCCTAGCTGTTACGATAACACAATTTTCGGACCTTTCCTTCTTTTTCATTCTCTGCTTTAACCTTGTACACTTTAGCTTTCACACATGGTGCCACGCGGCACTTCCCCTTTTTGTTCAAACTCCCTTTCTCGCGCCGCATTGCCTTCTTCTCATTTTAGATACAACTCTCTCACACAGTGGAGCTAGTCATGCGGGCTAGGCCCCATGACATCATCAGCCACTGACTTTATCAACTGTACAGTACATAAGTACAAACACTCTGTATTAGTATATATACCCCAATAGATCCAGGAGACTCCTCAGCCAGTCCTCCTGTTGTTAACCAACAAACTCTCTGCAGCCTAAGGGGTAACTACTCCCTCAACGTCTTCTTTATAGTGTGTTCTTGTGTGCGCCAGAGTAACTAACTCTTGGTTGTAACATTAGGACTCGCTCTTTCTACTCTCTCACACATTGTGCAAAAAAAAAAAAGTCCCACTGGGCACCCGGACTCCAAGGTGAAGGAGATTTGGTTATTGGTTAGGAATATCCCGCGTAGCAGATAGGTGCGCTCTTCGCGACGGCCTTGTAGTGCTTTGGGAGAAGAACCAAAACCTTTGATACGCGGCCCCCAGCATTAAGGGGAGTACTATAGCTCAGCAGTTGATGTGGAACCTCTGTTGATTAGATTTTAGAATACAAAACTTCTTCTTCAAATACCTCTGACCAGGCCGGGCACTTGCCTCCGCCAGTCTGGAGAAGGGTTGACAGCTTAACAAGCGGACCACCCCCTGACAACCGTTCGGACCAGGGTTTATTATGAATAACTTTTATATAAACTTTCAAATACTATAGTGTGGGTAGTCGGAGATTGAGATCCGATACTCAGCTGGGAAGAGGTTGATCCGCAGATAACAAGCGGGGACCCCCAGTTACATTTTTTTTATTACTTTACAAAGAGAACAAGTCGACATGTCGTCGCAACAAGATGTCAACGCTCTGCTGCATAACATGTGGCAGCAGATCTTGGCATTGACCAATCAACTCGCCGAGCTGCAGGCAAATCCCCCTGCGGCAACCCCCTCGGTTGAGAAGAAATTCAACAAGAAAGTCGAAGTTGTTGCTGACCCTGGTGCCTTCGAGGGAGACAGAGCGCGATTCGCCAAGTGGTGGATCAAACTCCAGATTTGGGTTAAGGCAAATTGGGACTCATTTGCCGACGATTTTTAGGTGGCCACTGCGGTGCTATCTCGACTAAAAGGACCTGTGGCAGGTCGATGCGCCCAAGTTAGACTACAGGAGTGCTACACCGCGGGAGTGTGGCCGACCTGGGGCGATCTCAAGAAAGAGATCGAAAAATATTTCAAACCACAAGCTGAGCGTGACTGGGCGCATCAGCAAATCCGTTCCTTCAAACAAGGAAATATGAGGACGGATGACTATGTTACCCGGTTTCTGGCCCTCTCCATCCAAGGAGGGCTTGGCAATGAACATGCAGTAGAACTGCTGGAGCGCAATGTGAACCCTTGCATTGCAGAACAGATCTACTTGCAGGATACAAGAAATGAAAACCTGGCCCTGGCGGCTGAGGAAGTATGACGAGTTGGTAGAGCCATGGAGCTTTACCAAATGCACCAAGGTGGCGGGTCCACCACCAAAAACAATACATCCCAGAGGCGCCCTGGGTCATCAAACCATCAAAACCATTCTCACGGGTTCAAGCCGTTCGGGCTACAACCAGGGCAGGGAGCCCCTATGGATATTGGCACGGTCCAAGGAGGACAGATGCGCAGATTCCAGGGGAACTGCTATAATTGCAGCCAAGAGGGACACATGTCCCAAGACTGCAGAAAAGGAGCGCAGGCCGCTCAACAAAAAAATAACCAAGGGTGCCAGGCGCGCCAATTAAAGTCTGAGAAACCGGACGATCGGCTCCAAACTCTGGCCGGTCGTTCGTACGACGAAATCCGGGCCTTCTTTTATGATCAGCAAGCTGCTGAAATGAAGGCTCAGGGAAAAGAGTTCGGAGCTTAGGTCACTTGGGTGCCTTCGCTGTCGATGATGAGAACTGTTGTTAGAAAACCACACACAAAACAAACTAACACACAATCCTCCCAGATTCCACGGAACTTGTTTATGGGCTTTGCCTCCTAGAACAGTGGAGTGGTCTGGTTGTTCGTGGGGTGGTACGTATAAAGATCCTTCAAAGTAAAACCCAGAGGTGTATGAGTGTGGGTTTTGAGGAGGAGGGATAGTTGAATTTATAGAAGGATAGGGGCTTGGTGACGAGTATAGACGAGCACTACCTTGCTAATCGTAGCAGAAGGTAGGTTTGAGAACGACAATATGACAAGGTTCCCAGTGATAGCAGGCTCCTGACGCACAAACTATAGTGCTCAGAAGGACTCTAATCGAAAGGGATAACAATGACTTCAAAAGTGGGAAGTGACAATGACCGCAGTTAACAGTAGTAGCAGTGGGAAGTGTTGTGACCACACTGGATCACAAGTAGCAGAGTAGTGAACTTGAGATTAGGGAAGAAGTCTCGATTGGAGTTCTTGTTGTTTTTTTACAAGGTAAAATACAGGGGTTTATATAGTAAAAGAGAAGTAGGCTATGCACAGTATAGCTGTGCAAAAAGAATGAGAAAGAATATGAAGGAAGGAATGTACGCTGACAAATCCTGCGTAGGTAGTACAGGATAAGATTGTCAAAAAAAAAGAAAAGAAAGGGATAGAACAATAAATGCTGTGAGTAATGTCACAGGTTTGTACAGCCATAAAGTAAAGTCCAATAGCAAAAAGAGAGCAGGAAGATCATGATGTCATGGGAAGATGCAGTAAAAAAGGGCAAGGCAAAACACTATCAGTATCAACACAGTTCCTTTATTGTCAGTCAGGCATTCTAAAAAAATATGTGTCCATAAAAATGATTCAAAAATCAAAAATAGTTGCACTGTAAATGAATGTTCTGCTGAAAAAAAAGAAACTGGAGCCACCGGTCCACCACCTAGTCCAAATCTGACAGTTCCATGGCCTTACCAATGGACTGGTTGTGTTGGACCACCTGATCAAACGAGGGAGGGAGAGGAGTAGTTCCAATTTGGAACAAGTGAGTCCCAGGCAGCGTGTGGTAGGTGTAGCTGTAGCGAAGACGATGGACAAATGATAAGTGTACCCAAGTGAATGGGACAGCGATGAACATGGGCGACGCAAGGGGATGAACCTTCTCCAGCTCAAAAATTACCCACCCACGCTCCAACCAGGCAAGACGAGCGACCGATGTTTTGATAGTATATGATGGCAGATCGACGTCATGAAGATGGACCTGTTGCCCTATTTGGACCGGCCGCCGGGGCTTTGCTGATATCAGCAGTGGCACGTGGTAGTCAACGGATCGGCGACGGAAGCGGATAGGAAGTGGTGACATCAGAAATGGTGGGGGAGCAAAGAAGATGAGGAGGAGGAGGGTGGAGGTGACGAGGAGGTGAACTAAAATGGGGACCCAGAAACGACCGTCGGGTGAGAATAAAAAGGAGAGGAAGGGGCCCATGGTGGGGCTAGGCAAAGGAAGGGGAGTAAGGGAAACGACAAAAGCGAGGGCGCAATGCAATGTGTAGCCAGTGGCGATGCGAAAATTTGCCGAAATGCCAAAACGCGGAAAGTACCGGATGGAAAAGCAAAGGTGAGCGTGACTGGATTGCCTAATAGAGGTGGTGCTGATCAGCCACAAGTTCAAAAAGGGCAATATTAATTACTATTCCACGTGGCACTGTGCCTGTGTGGCGCAAAGGCGAGTCTTTTTGAATATTCGCTTCGTTATTGACACTTGTCCATGCTACCAATCAACTTTGGTGCATGACATCGCTCCTATGAACAATGAAGTAAACCACAACAAGGTGGCCCCTGCTCCGGGGTGTTGCACGAGCAATAAAGGAAAGACGGGGATGGCTCCCCAATTTGTAAATAGATTTCTAAATTTGTTATCTGAAGTATGTACTTGTATGAAGCATTGTGACTGTAATATTTATAATACTACTGCTGCACCAGCATCTCCCTTGGAGCGTGGCCCCAGCGAGACAAACACTAGGGTGCTTGATTCTGGTAAAAATAAAATAGAAAAACATGTAGCGCTTGACACTTCTTCTCTGGAGCCACCCTTTCCCGAAATCCCAAGGTGTGTGTTGATGCGCACGTATTGCACATATTTATTCCAAAAGGAGATCTGTTTAGACGTTGGTGTGGAAAACCTTGCCCAGGGCAGAGTACACCCAACCAGCGCACTGCTTGATTCAGGTGCTAACGGAATCTTCATAGGTCAGGTCTGGGCAGAGCAGATTGGACTCCCCCTTGTAAAATTAGATGCATCTATTCCTGTCTATAATGTTGACGGTATGCTTAACGCGGGTGGCTGCATCACGCACAAATGTTCTTTTGTTGTTGAATACCAAGGACACAGAGAACGAGCCACCGCCGAAGCTACCCAACTAGGGAAGATTAATTTAATCTTGGGCTGTAGCTGGCTATTTAAACACAATCCTGAGATCGGCTGGCAGACAGGGGTTGTCACATTGTCACATTGCCCTCAGGAGTGTGTGAACTTGGGTAAACCAAATCATGTCCGTCACAATGAGCGTCTTGAGAAGATAAACGCTGGTCATGTTTATGAGCTCAGATCTTTAGAAAAGATTGACAATGACAATGATGAGGTAAAACCCGAAGAAGAGATTAAGAGGCTAGTACCTCCTGAGTACCATGACTTCTGGAAAGTCTTTTCAAAACATAAATCAGAGCGCTTCCCAGAGGCTAAGCCTTGGGACCATGCTATAGATTTGAAGGACACCTTCAAACCGAGAAAAGGACACATGATACCACTCTCTGCTCCAGAAAGAGATGAGGTATCAAGTTCCATAGACGAACAACTTAGGAAGGGTTACATCAGACCTTCCAAAAGCCCTATGATGTCCCCGGTGTTCTTCATTCCTAAAAAGGATGGTAAGAAGCGTATGATTATGGACTATCGTTACGTGAATGAGCACACGGCTAAAAATGCGTATCCGCTGCCTTTGATCAGTCAGCTAGTAGACAAATTGGCTGGTGCCAAGATCTTGACAAAGATGGATCTCAGATGGGGGTACAATAATGTAGGAATCAAAGAAACAGATGCTTGGAAGGCCGCGTTCACGTGCCACCGAGGATCCTTTGAACCCCTTGTCATGTTCTTTGGGTTGACCAACTCACCGGTGACCTTCCAGAGCATGATGAACGAGATCTTTGCGGATATAGAAAACTGTGTCATCATTTACATTGACAATTTATTAATATTTACAAAGTCGGACGATGAGGCTGAGCATGACAGGATCGTGCAAGAAGTCCTTTGATGCTTACAGGAACGGGACCTATTCGCCAAACCCGAAAAATGTAATTTTAAAGTGAAGGAAGTAGACTTCCTCGGTATGATCATAGGCCAGAACGGAATCAGGATGGATCCTGAGAAAGTTCAAGCTATCTTGGATTGGCCAAAACCTACTCGCGCCAAAGGAGTTAGGGCCTTCCTTGGCTTAGGCAATTTCTACCGAAGGTTTATCGAAAACTTCGCAAAAATCACGAGACCGTTGAACGGTCTCACTAAAAAGGGCATTGTTTGGCACTGGGGCGCCAAGGAACAAGAAGCTTTTGATAAGCTTAAACAGGTGTTTACAACGGTGCCCATATTAGCATTTCCAGAATTGGACAAAGAGTTCCGGCTAGAAACCGACTCTTCTGATTTTGCTACTGGGGCTGTTCTATCAATTAAATGCCCTGACGATCTTTGGAGGCCTTGTGCCTATTTATTGCATAGTTTGTCGCCTACAGAGCGCAACTATCAAATCTACAATAAAGAGATGCTGGCCATCATTAGAGCTCTAGAGCACTGGCGGCACTACTTAGAAGGTGCTAGGCACCAATTTGAAATCTGGACCGATCATGAGAATCTGGAGCATTTTATGGCGGCCGAGACTTGAACCGAAGACAGGCCCGCTATGCGGTATACTTGTCAAGGTTTAATTATAAATTAATTCATAAGCCTGGAAGCTCTATGGGGAAAGCAGACACTTTGTCCAGAAGAGAGGTTCATGCCAACGGCATCGAAGATGATAACAAAGGTGTTACCCTGATAGACCAATCAAGGGTTGCCAATGTTAGAATTGGACAGGATTCCAATCTTCTGGAAGTCTTCAAGAAAGACATCTCCTCAGAAGAGAAGGCGCGCCTTGACGGCAATGAAAACTATTTATGGGAAGACGGGCTCTTCCATTTTAAAGACAAAATCTATGTGCCAGAGTCCGCAAGGATCAAGGCAATAGATGGACATCACAACACTCCAGTGGCTGGGCACCCTGGGTGGCAACGAACAATGGAGTTGATCTCCAGAAATTATATGTGGCCTGGCATGGTCAAAGACGTACAGGAATATGTAAAATCCTGTCTGAGATGTGCCATGGCTAAGAATTCTCACCAACCGCCGGCCGGTAAACTTATGCCAAATCTGATACTAGCTGGTCCCTGGCAGGATATATCGGTTGACTTTACAATGGATCTGCCCAAGTCAAATGGGTATGATTCAGTAATGGTGGTAGTGGATCGCTTCTCCAAAGAAGTGGTATTCATACCCACCAATAAAATCATTACCGCTGCTGGTACAGCAGATTTATTTAAAGATTTTGTATGGCCTATCCATGGGTTACCAGAAACGGTTATCTCTGATAGAGGACCTCAATTTGCTAGCGAATTTACGAAAGAATTATGCCGGATGCTGGGTATCAAACCTAAATTATCAACGGTGTTCCATCCGCAGACTGATGGACAAACGGAGAGACTCAACCAGGAGTTGAAACAATATCTCCGGATATTTATTAATGACAAGCAGACAGATTGGGCCAAGTGGCTAAAGATAGCCCAGTTCTCATATAATATTAAACAGTTGTCGGCTACAGGAAAGGCACCATTCGAGGTTACTAGATCGTACCTCCCCAGAATGGGTGTAGTGTTATG